CTTTGGGCCTTTGTCAAATATCAGTTGCTCATAGGTGGATGAATTTGTGTCTCGATTCTCAATTCTGTTCCATTGGTCTGTGTGTCTGTTGTTGTACCAGTACCAGGCTGTTTTGACTACCATGGTGGTATAATAGGTTCTAAAATCAAGTAGTGTGAGGCCTCCCACTTTGTTGTTCTTCTTGAGTAATGCTTTACTTATTCAGGACCTCTTTGATTTCCATATGAAGTTGGTGATTTGTTTCTCCATCATTAAAATATGCTGTTGGAATTTGGATCGGGATTGCATTGTATCTGTAGATTACTTTGGGTAGAATTGACATTTTCACAGTGTTGAGTCTATCTTGTGGATTTTTTTTTCATTTCTTTTGTTTTTAGTGAGACTTTATGTTTTTGTTCTTTATTTTGATGAGTAGGTTTGTTAACTTTCTTTGTGGTTAGTTTGAAATTTACCCTTATCTTCCTAAATTTCAACCAGTCTTCTATTACTTGGTATCATCTCGCCTTCCTCTTTATTAGAAGGTTGTATACCTACACCGTTTATCCCCTCTTTTGTTGTTCTGACTTTGTTATCATTTAAAGATTAACCTCTGTGGTTCCCTGTTGTAAATCTTTTAGTTTTGATTAATCCTTGAGAGTTCATTTCCTAGGTTGGTATCTAGCTGGTGCAATCTTGCATCCTAGATTCAGGCTGTTGTCTGATGTTGCTTGTTCCCGAACCAGAGGACGCCCTTTAATAATTCTTGTACATTTGCTTTGGTTTTTACGTATTCCCTTAATTTATGTTTGTCTGGAAATGTCCTGATTTCACCATCGTATTTGAATGAGAGTTTTGCAGGAGATATTATTCTTCATTGGCAATTTTTTTCTTTCAAGGTTTTATATATGTCATCCCATTGCATTCTTGCCTGCACGGTTTCTGCCAAGTAATCAGAGTTTAGTCTTATTGTTTACCGTCTTATTGTTTCTCCTCTGTATGTGACTTTTCATTTTTCTCGAGCTGCTCTCAGGATACTTTGGTTCTAGCGAATGTGATTATGATATGCCTTGGTGATTTTCTTTTGGGGTCTATCCTATATGGGTTTCGTTGAGTTTCTTGGATGGTCACCTTTTCATCTTCCAGGATATTAGGCAAGTGTTTTGTCAGCAATCCTTCAGTGATCCTCTCTGTGTTTTCCGTTTTATTCCCTGGTTCTGGAACTCGGATAAGTCGTAGATTTTTTCTTTTGATTGTATCCCACATCATTCTCAGGGTTTCTTCATTTTTTTTGTTTGTTCTTTTTTCAGTTTTTCCTCAAAGTGATATTCAAGTATTTGTATTCAATTTCGCTGATTCTGTTTTCTGTTGTTTCAGACCTGCTCCTGAGACCTTCTGTGACATTGTCCATTTTTGAAATCTTGTTGTTTATCTTTCGGATTTCTAATTGCTGTTTTTGTATGATTTCTAGTTGTGAATTTATTTTGACATTTTGTTTCTGTATTATTTTTCTGAATTCTTCCATTATTTTGACTGTCTTTTCCATGATTTTGTCTATTTTTTCTCATTTTTGTCTGCTTTTTACTTCAAGTTTTGGTTATCTCTGAATATTAGAGATTTGAATTCCCTATCAGGTATTTCCAGTGCCTTTTCTTCTACTGGAACATCATCTGGTGTTTTATTTCAGATGTCTACTGGAACCATCCTGTCCTTTTTTTAAATATGTTTTGATATTGTCTGCTGTCTTCAGGACATTCAGTAGTTATTTTCTTCATTTATTGATTGTAGATTTGTTTTGTTTCGTCCTGCTCCTTTGTTTTATTTGGTTATGTCTGAGCAAGTGGGATGTGCGTTGTTTTTTATTTGCTTGTCTGTGGGCACAGTACTTCTCATCAGCTTGTCCAATGGGTAGGGCCAATCACTCAGCTATGGTGCAGCAGGGCAGGTCCAGCAGGTGCTCTGTCTCCTGCTGGGAGTTCTGTGAAGCTGCTTTCCTTTACTCCCTGTCTGCTGATCTCCGATAGGAGCCCATGCTGCGTTAGCTGATGGAGTGCCTCCACTCCGTATTTCTCCTTGCTCTCTGTTCTCTGTCAGTTTCTTATTCCATTCAGTGCTTGGTTGAGTTCTTTAGTTCTTCATTTGATATTTAGGGTTCAAGGATTGACGTTTGTCTCTGTTTTCCTTAGTTTTTTGGGTCTTTGCTGTGGAGGGACAGCTTGGTGCTTCTGTCTATAGCACCATGTTGACTCTGCCAAAATAGTAATTACTTCTAATTACTTAAATGTGTATATTGTAAGAACCATAATATACTTATCAAAATCAAGAAGTTTAGCAGCAATACAATTTTATTATCTAATCCACAATCCATATTTAGATTTTATTAACTATCTAAATAAGATCCTTCATAATTCTTTCCCGCTCTAGGATATGATTCAGAACATGCACTGCATTTAGTTATCGTATGTCTTTAATACCATTTAATCTGGAACATTTCCTCAGCCTTTTCTGTGTTTCTTCACCTTGACCTTTTAACAGTACGGGCCTTTTTTTTGGCAAACTAGTTCTCCATTTGGGTTTGTCTGATTAGATTAGTTTTAGGCTATGCATTTTGGGTAGAAATACCATAAAAGTAATGATATGTTCTCAGTGCATCATATCAGGGGTCACCTAGTGTTTCTGGTGATGTCTGCAAAGTTTCTCCACTCTGAAGTTATTATTTTCTCTCTGTGATTAGTAAATAATTTGTTGGGAGATATTTTGAGATAATGTCAATATTCTGTGCCTCATCAATGTTTTACCTCTGGGTTTATTTTGTTATTCTTTTCCTAGCCTCTCTAGTTGAAAACTTTATTTCAGCCCCTTTTATTTTCTAAAGAAGTACTTAATAAATCACTTTGACATACTGTGTAGGAGTACTTATAGTAGTTTGTGATGAAAGGAGACAGTAGGTGGGGAGATTGTTTATAATAACCTAGTACTAAGAAATTACTGAAAGAACTGAAGAAAAATTTCAATCCTCAAGTTGCAATATTGAAGGAGTCTGTGGGGAAAATACTAAACGATGCAGGAAGCATCAAAAGAAGATGGAAAGAATGCACAGAGTCACTATACCAAAAAGAATTGATCGACATTCAGCCATTTCAGGAGGTAGCATATGATCAGGAACCAATGGTACTGAAGGAAGAAGTCCAAGCTGCACTGAAGGCATTGGCAAAAAACTAGGCTCCAGGAATTGATGGAATACCAATTGAGATGTTTCAACAATTGGATGCACAGCTGGAAGTGCTCACTCATCTGTGCCAAGGAATTTGGAAGACAGCTACCTGGCCAACTGACTGGAAGAGATCCATATTTATGCCTATTCCCAAGAAAGTTGGTCCCACTAAATGTGGAAATTATCGTACAATATCGTTAATATCACCCAAAAGTAAAATTTTTCTGAAGATCATTCAAAAGCGGCTGCAGCAGTATATCGACAGGGAATTGCCAGAAATTCAAGCAGGATTCAGAAGAGGACGTGGAACAAGGTGTATCATTGCTGATGTCAGGTGGATCCTGGCTGAAAGCAGAGAATACCAGAAAGATGTTTACCTGTGTTTTATTGATTATGCAAAGGTACTGGACTGTGTGGATCATAACAAATTTTCGGTCACATTTTGAAAAATGGGAATTCCAGAACCCTTAATTGTGCTCCTGAGGAACCTGTAACTGGACTGTGTGGATCATAGCAAATTTTGGGTAACATTTTGAAGAATGGGAGTTCCAGAACCCTTAATTGTGCTCCTGAGGAACCTGTACGTAGACCAAGGTGCAGTTGTTGGAACAGAACGAGGGAGTACTGCATGGTTTAAAGTCAGGAAAGATGTACGTCAGGGTTGTATCCTTTCACCATACTTATTCAGTCTGCATGTTGAGCAAATAGTCTGAAAACCTGGACTATATGAGGAAGAATGCAGCATCAGGAAAGGAAGAAGACTCATTAATAGCCTGTGATATGCAGATGACACAACCTTTCTTGCTGAAAGTGAAGAGGACTTGAAGCACTTACTGATGAAGGTCAAAGACCACAGCCTTCAGTATGGATTACACTTCAACATAAAGAAAGCAAAAATCCTCGCAACTGGACCAATAAGCAACATCGTGATAAATGGAGGAAAGATTGAAGTTGTTGAGCATTTCATTTTACTTGGATCCACAATCAACACCCATGGATGTGGCAGTCAGGAAATCAAACCATGCATTGCACCGGGCAAATCTGCTGCAAAAGATCTTTTTAAAGTGTTAAAGATGTAACCTTGAAGACGAAGGTGCGCCTGACCCAGGCCATGGTGTTTTCAGTTGCTTCATATGCATGTGAAAGCTGGACAATGAATAAGGAAGACTGAAGAAGAATTGACGCCTTTGAATTGTGGTGTTGGCGAAGAATATTGAATATACCATGGACTGTCAAAAGAACGAACAAATCTGTCTTGGAAGAAGTGCAACCAGAGTGCTCCTTAGAAGCAAGGATGGCGAGACTATGTCTCATATACTTTGGATATGTTGTCAGGAGAGATCAGTTCCTGGAGAAGGACATCATGCTTGGTAGAGGGTCAGCGAAAAAGAGGAAGACCCTCAATGAGATGTGTTGACACAGTGGCTGCGACAATAGACTCAAGCATAAAAATGATTGTGAGGATGGCGCAGGACTGGACAGTGTTTTTTTTTGTTGTACATAGGGTCACTATGAGTCAGAAATGACTCGATGGCACCTGACAACAAACAACAACAGGAAATTGTCCATGACAGCTTGAACAGAGTATTTTAAAGATGCCAGAAATCACCCATGTCTTAAAATGTTTCCTTGACTTGCTTTAAAGAATTAAATATATGGTTCATAATGATTGTGATTGTCACACATAAGAGTATTACTAAGTTCTTCAAAGTTAGGAATTTAAGAAGTTTATTTTTTTAGTGCCTCTGGCACCTGTGTACTTTTTAAATATACAGGTATCTTAGACCATGCTTTTACTTTATCATTTCAGGAGCAGTGACAGTGGCATGGAAGAATCCTTTTTCAAGCTGGTTTACTGCTATGCTCCACTGCTTTGGTGGAGGAATTTTATCCTGTATATTGCTTGCGGAGCCTCCAGTGAGGTTTCTTGCAAACAACACTAATATATTACTGGCATCTTCGATCTGGTAAGCTGTTAGTATGGTAGACTATGAAACATTTAAAAAATTGTTTTGTAAGTTGCTAGTTACTAAAATGGAATTTTTCTATCTTTGGAAAATATTTTATGTTCTTGAAAAGGTAGTACATGTGTAAAGGAAGGAACCCAAATAATGCCAAAGGTTTTCTGTACAAAGTTTCTCTCTCATCTCTGTCCTAGTGTCCTCCCCTAGAGGCAATTTGTTACTATTATGTCTCCTTAGTAGAAGAATTCCAAATGTGAAAGGACATCGTGTATTTAACCCCAAACAGTTTATCTTGTTAGCCTAACCCATACACGTAGACGTGTAACACCATAAAAAGAATGTGATCAACTAGACAAAAATTCCTGGTGATTATGATTCATGTATAATGATTGTTCTTGTCATACTCTTTGTTGGATTTTTCAGAGCCTCATGAGATCTTTAAACATTAATTTTGTAGTTTTGAAGTGAAGAAAAAAATGTTAGACATTGCTTTGGATTATTACTTTTGTCAGTTATCCTTAAGAAGATCGATTCATCATATTTAAAAAAAATACAAATCAGAGTGCTTTGTTACAGTTAAAAGCTATGCTTCTGATTAAACCATATTAATTAAATATATAACATGTAAGGAACACTTAAAGTTTATTTTTATTGTGATATCTTTAAATGATGTAATCAATCATAGCAGAATATTCTATATAATAGTAACAGTGGCAAAAAGTAATAGTGGGACCTGTGGCTGTGTGGATTAGTAGGAGTAGCATAATAAATTTGATAGCTAGTCTTAACTGTGTTGTTAACCATTTGCCTGCTACATTTTTATATTCGTTATCATATTTAATCACAAGAGTCCTACGAGGTAGCTATTATTATTATTCCCATTTGGCAAATGAGAAAACTGAGGCATAGAGAAACTTTGCTAAAATTTTCATACCTAGTAAATGGTTTTGATAGGATCAAATCCAGAAGTTTGACTTCAGAGCTTTCACGCTTGATAGTTACTGTTTCTCACTAGATACTTATTTAACTGTTTATTAAAGTATAGTGTTCAGTTGCTATGTGTTTTAAAACACTTAAGGATTTTTATTTCTGTAGCAATATTTTTTAAAATATAGTAAACATTTTGGAGAATTTTTTGTGTGTGTACGCTGAAACTATATAAAAAGTAGGGCTAAAAAAGTCTTGCCCATAACATGTATCCAGAATCTGACAGTTTCCGTTACTTCCACTTCTGTTCCTGTAGTACTAGGTACCATAATTTTTTGTCTTGCAATAGCTTCCTAGCTCTTCTAGGTCTAGCTGATTCTTCCATTACTCCCCCTGCTACACCCCAGTCTATTCTTCACATAGCATCCTTTGCTGTTAAGTTGATTCTGACTCATAGGGACCCTATAAGACAGCATAGACCTACCCATAGGGTTTCCAAGGCTGTAATTTTTACGGATAGATCTTGAAATGTTCTTTTTTGACTATGAATGTGATGCCATTCCTCTTCAATTGGTCATTCCTGACATAGTAGACCATATGATTCTTATTAAAAATGGCCAGTACCAGTCTGTTTCAGTTCACTAATGCCTAGGATTTCCGTCTTCGAACTTTCCATTTCATTTTTGACAACTTCCAGTTTTCCTTGATTCATACTTTGTACATTCCGTGTTCCGATTATTCACGGATATTTGCAGTTGTTTCTTCTCATTTTGAGTCGTGCCACATTGGCAAATGAAGGTCCCAGAAGCTTGGCTCCATCCACTTCATTAAGGTCAACTCTACTTTGAGGAGGCAACTCTTCTCCAGTCATATCTTAAATGCCTTCTAACCTGAGGGGCTCATCTTCTGGCACTATATTCGTAAAGTTTTCACCGTTCAGTTTTTTCAGAAGTAGATCTCCAGGTCCTTCTTCCCAGTCTGTCTTAGTCTGGAAGCTCCGCAGGACTGGCACAGAACTGGGCAGTGTTTCGTTCTGTTGTATTTAGGGTCGCTATGAGTTGGAACTGACTCGTCGGCACTAACAACAACAGTCTTTACGGAAGCAGACCGATACATCTTTCTCCTGCAGCGTGGCTGGTGGGTTTGAGCTGCCTACCTTTTGGTTAGCAGCTGAGTGCTCAATCACTGTGCCACCAGGGCTTCTTCACACAGCACACAAAATGATTATTTAAAAATAGGCTAGTGTATGTCATTCCTATGCTCAAGGGTTTTTTTATTAAACACAAAATCCAAAATTCTTACCATGGCCTGTAAGACCCTATGAAATCTTTCCTTCCACTTTCTGATGTAATATTTTTCCATTCTACTCCTCGTTCATTCTCCTCTAGCCACATTGGCTTTACTATTTCTTGACAATGTAAGGTGTTCTTCTACGTCAGTGCCTTTATACTTCTTCTCCCTGGAATGGTCTTTCCCCAGAAGGGTCAAATTTTCTTTTATTAGAGAGGCGTTCCTTGACTAACCTATCCAAATTAGCACGTATTTTCTGGTTACTGGAGCCCTGGTGGCGCAGTGGTTAAGAGCTTGGCTGCTAACCAAAAGGTCAGCAGTTCAAATCCACCAGTTGCTCCTTGGAAACCCTATGGAGCAGCTCTACTCTGTCCTAGGTTCGCTATGAGTCAGAATCAGCTCGATGCCAATGGTTTTGGTTTTTTGATTCCCATTACTGGAGTCTCAGGGTGGCGCAAAGGGTAAGTGTGTAGCTACTAACTGAGTGGTTGATGATTAAATCCACCCGGAGGTGCTTCTGAAAAAAGGCCTCGTGATCTACTTCTGAAAAATCACAGCTGTTGAAAACCTGTGGAGTGCAGTTCTACTCTGAAGCACATACAGTCACATGTGTTGGAATCAACTCGATGGTAACTGGCTTGGTTCTCCCATGACTGTCACATCACCCTGCTTTATTTTTCACTTATTACTACGTGATATATTATCTATTTCTTTTTGTGTTGACCTGTCTCACGCCACTAGAATGAGAGCTGTGTCACAGCAGGGACTTGGTTTTGTTAACTGTGTGCCAAGTACTGTGTATTATACCTTAGAGTAGTATTTTAAAATGGGGTATTATACTGTGTATAGTTTTCTGGGACTTTTTTTTTTTTTCCACTCAACATTATACTAAGATTCATCTGTATTTTTGCATGTAACTGTAGTACATTTCTTCTCAGTGCTGTATAGTATTTCCATTATATGAATACCTGTATTTTATTTATTCTTCTGTTGATGAAGATTTGTTTTGGTTCTAGTTGTTTTTTTGGAGGGGGGCATTTACAAAACGAGAACAATAGTAATAGCAACCACTTACATAGAATTTACTATATTCCAGATACTTTTCTAAGTGCTTTGTGTGTAGTGTCTCACTTAAACCTCACAAGGACCCTGTGAGGTAGGTACTATTTTATTCTTTTTTAATGATTATGTAACTGAGGCACAGAGGGGTTAAATAACTTGCCCAAGGTATCACAGCTGTTGAGTAGTAGGAGCCAGGATTCAAACCTAGGCCATTTAAGATTTTAATGTTAAGAACAAATTTGTAATTTTTGCTTCTTTTGCTTCTAATCTTAAGGATAAAGTAATGTTTGGAATTTAAACTCCAGCAAGCTAAAGCAGAGATTCCGTGAATGCAGTTGTTAGAAGGGTCCTCCTTATTTAGTACAATAGTTAATAGTGTGCACATCTGGGGGTTAGCACCATCTGCTGGCAAAGAGAAGCAATAACTTTGTATGTCAGTACAGTATTGTTTGGAAGACAGTGTACATTATAATAGGATTTTTCTTTTTAAGAAGCTGTTTCTAGTGGAATATAAATATTTTATAATTCTTCTATATAGTGATTTTTGTGCCCTAGTTTGTTTTCCTTAAAAAAAAAGTACAAGAAAAGTTAGTTTCTTAAGTCTGTTATTCTACAGATAATCTTTGAATCATACACATAAAATTATTAATTTGTTAGAATAGTAACAGCAGGAGCAAAGCTGTCATATTGAATAATATGAACTCTGTTTAGTTTACTGTTCTGTTTTCATTTATTTAAGTAAATATTGTCCTTGATACAAGAGTGGAATTAATGGTAAAATAAAAACAGTTCTCAGTGACTAACCCTGGGAAGCTTCTCTTTGCTCAGTTCTTGGTGTTAATCTAATTTCTACTCTCATCTTTACTACTTAAACTGGTTTAGCTTTTGTTTGTGTCAGTGGCCTAGCATTTTGTTTGTATTGCATGCCCTTGAGTTAATTCCAACTCACAGTGACCCTATAGGACAGAGTAGAACTGCCCTATAGGGTTTCCAAGGCTGTAATCTTTATGGAAGCAGACTGCCACATCTTTCCCCCTCAGAGTGGCTAGTGGGTTCCAACCGCAGACCTTTCGGTTATCAGTTGAGCGCTTCATCCCTGCGCCACCAGGGCTCCTTTGTTCTATGCTCACTTCTGTTATTTAGCATGATTTTTTGTTGTTTTTTTCCCTTTTCATTAACCTATTCTATGTGACTTAAAAATGTATGAGAAATCAGTTGTTGTCTTCTCTTTCATTTCTTTTTTCCTGTATGTTTTATTTAGGCGCTTTATAATTTACAGGTACTTTAGATGTAATTTTAGTTAAAGGTGGCATTATGATCTTTCCAGAAAGAGGGACATGGTGATTACTTGATAAGTGTTGGTTGTGTGATCATTAAAGGAATTTTAAGAAGCTAATTTGTGTTATAGAGCAGGAATTATTGTTGATGGAGGCATTGGTCTGATACATTTAAGTCTACTCAGCACAGTAAACAACTTTTCTTTTGCCTTGTGGCTATTTAACACTCAAAAGGAGAACAGCTTAAAACGTTAGCTTATTGTAGCTGTATTTTAGAAATGTAATTAAATAAAGACTTATTTATTCAGAAATGGCAACAATAATTTTAGACTATATGTCTTAATGTCCCATAGTTGAATATAAAAAAGTCCAACATGGATCTTATAATAAAATGTTTAACGCATGTTAAAGATGGGCTTAGTGTAGAAAATGAAAATAGGATCATTTGTATTCTTTTTGTTGTTTCTTTGTTCAAATATTTGGCTTTTGAGCATTCATTACTGCTAAAGTGAAACCAAATTCTTTTTCTTAATCTATTCTACAGTAGATACTTAAGTATTTTTATTTTATTAAAAATACATTTTCAAATTCATTATTTAGGTGTATGTATTCTTTTTTCCCAAATACCTAACCAAGTTCCTGGAAATTAGTCATATATTTAGAGACAGTAGTATATAGAGACTTGCACAATATATTTTTTAAATTTATTTATTTTTGTTGTTGAGAATATACACAACAGAACATACACCAGTTCAATAATTTCTACATGTAAAATTCAGGTACATTGATCACATTCTTCAATTTGTGCAACCGTTCTTACCCTCCTTTTCTCAATTGTTCATCCTCCATTAACATAAACTCACTATCCTCTAAGTTGTCTATATAATCTTTTGATCTTACTGTTATCAATTTGATCCCATAAATAGATCTTAAAAGAACACCATGCTTGAGGCAGACATTCTTTAGTAATTAAGCTAAACTATTATTTGGTTTAAAGAAGACTATAGGGAATATTTTTGGTTTAAGGTTTAAAGATTATCTCAAGGCAATAGTTTCATCCAGCCTCAGTGGCTCCAGAAAGTCTGGATTCTGTGAGAATTTGAAATTCTGTTGTGCATTTTCCCCCTCTTGATAAGGATTCTTCTATAGAATCTTTGATTACAATGTTCAGTAATGGTAGCTGGGCACCATCCAGTTCTTCTGGTCTTGTGGCAAAGAGGCAGTTGTTTATGGGAGACTTGCAAAATATTATATGCACATTTAAAATTTTAAAATCATGCCAGTTGTTTTCAGAAAGCTTTTGCTACTCTCTGGTAATTTATTCCTTTCTCTTAAGCTCCTTAATTATTAGCTGATTCTTGATTTGATATATTTTATATTTTGCCTCCAGATTGACTGCTAATAAATGATTTAATTAAAGGTTACTTTTCATCATACTGAGTTTTAGGTTAGGGGATAATAAGAGAAATGATTCCTACCACTTAAGGACTGTTATGCTTTATTATGAGAATTATAGCCTTTTATTTTACATTATAAGGAAGAATGTAGAAAGAGCTATGCTGAGACAAGTGTTTTAGTTGTACAGGCCAGTAGAGTTTAGTGTGATATGAGAAGGTTAAATAAAACCACCAAACTCAATGGATAAGATAGCATTTGAGTGGAACCTTGAAGAATCGGAAGGAATCTGTAGGTGGAGATGAAGAAGACAGGGTGCTTCAGGCTGAGCAAACTGTTACATCTTGTATTTGGTCTCTGAAGCACTATTTTGGCAAACAGATTTGATATTCCTTGAATGCTTTTAGGGATTCTGACTTTATGAATCATGAATTGCAATAAGATTAACAGCTTCTTTTAAAAGAAGTACAATACTGTATTATCCCATTAGAAAGAAGATTATGTCTGCTTTAAACACAAAATTTTATGCCAGAGTATTTTAAGAACAGGGAGAAAAAAAGTAGTGTGATTCCAATAAATACTACTGTTAAACTACTTGAACAGATGTTTAGAACAAATGAAGTTTAAAAAAAAAATTCACTTGAAACCAAAAACTCGTTGCTGTTGAGTCGATTCCAACTCATAGCGACCCTACAGGACAGAGTAGAACTGCATAGGGTTTCCAAGGAGTGGCTGTTGGGTTCGAACTGCCCACCGTTTGATTAACAGCTGTAGCTCTTAACCACTGTGCCAGCAGGGCTCCAATTCACTTAAGGGAGGGATGAATTATTCTTAAAGCAGTATCACAATTTAATTAACTATAAACTTAACCTTACTCAAGTAAATTAAAGAACAAGCTTCATATTCTTTCCTCTGTATGAAAATGTTTTTCCTTAACACAAATCTCCCTCCTTGAGAGTTATAACCTATCTTTGTATAGGTTGTAGTTTATGTTCTGCACCAAGGGGCTCGGGTGATGATGTTAGTCGGGGCTGAGCTGCAGCCTTCACTGAGCTGCCAAGGACTATTTTCTAGTTCCCTTTTCCAGAGGACAAAGACGTTGTATAGCTAGAGGAGTCCTTCCCTAGAAGTGATTATACATTTGCTTTATTTTATTAATGGATTCAACGCTTAGCTTCTAGAACATGTAAGTACAAATTAGGAACTTGGTAATTACTTTTTGCATATTTAGCATGTTTGGAAGTCCAGAATTTACGTTCCCCTCTGATCATGACTTTTTGACAGATTATATATATGGTTTATGTGATTTTAAAAAATCGACCCGCTACCCAATCTATGCTTTTCTTGAAATAAAATTCCATATTTATTTGAATAATTTCATTTGTTATATTTTGCCAAATTACTGTTGCTGATATACTGGATTTTTATTTCTGTTCTTCCGATTACATTGTTATATTAAAATATTTAAATTTTAATTTCAGGTATATTATATTTTTTTGCCCATGTGACCTAGTTTGCCAGGCCTATTCTTTCCTACCTGTTCAACTCTTGGCTGCAGGAATGAAGGAAGTGACGAGAACTTGGAAAATAGTAGGTGGAGTCACACATGCTAATAGCTATTACAAAAATGGCTGGATAGTCATGATAGCTATTGGATGGGCCCGAGGTAATATTAACAATATGTGTTCATGAGTATTCTGATATTGGTGTACCACAACTATTGAACAATTCTATAGTTACATTAATGGAGACCACATACTTTAATAACAGAATCTTTTTGGAAGATGGAAGCCTTGTTTCCGTTGGTTAATGAGGTTAATTTAAAACTAGTACTTTTTACTGTCACTAGTCATTATTTTGAGCCTGGTTGTCTTACAATATAAAATTTTTTAATTAGTTTGATTTGGAACACCAGCACCAGAGAGCTTCATAGTTAATTAAGGTGCAGTACCACCATAAATGAAACAAGCTTACCTAAGAAATCATGTGGCAGCTTTGGTGAAGGGTAAGACAGTACACAATACTGGGGAAGCCAGTGCAACTTGTACAAGGCAAGGTCATGGAAGCTCCATAGACACATCCAAACTCCCTGAGGGACCCAATTAATGGGCTGAGGGCTGTGGGGACCGTGATCTTGGGGAACATCTAGCTCAATTGGCATAACATAGTTTATAAAGAAAATGTTCTCCATTCTACTTTCGTGAGTAGTGTCTAGGGTCTTAAAAGCTTGTGAGTGGCCATATAGGATACTCCACTGGTCTCACCCTGTCAGGAGCAAGGGAGAGGAGAATGAAGAAAACTAAAGACACAAGGGAAAGATTAGTCCAGAGGACTAATGGACCACAATTACCACGGCCTCCACCAGACTGAGTCCACTACAACTAGATGGTGCCTGACTACCACCACCAACTGCTCTGACAGGGATCACAATAGAGGGTCCTGGACAGAGCTGGAGAAAATGTAGAACAAAATTTTAACTCACAAAAAAAGACCAGACTTACTGGCCTGACAGGGACTGGAGAAACTCCAAAAGCATGGCCCCTGGGTACCCTTTTAGCTCCGTAATGAAGTCACTCCTGAGGTTCACCCTTCAGCCAAAGATTAGACAGGCCCATAAAACAAAACAAGACTAAAGGGTCACACCAGCCCAGGGACAAGGACTAGAAGGCAGGAAGGGACAGGAAAGCTGGTAATAGGGAATCCAAGTTTGAGCAAGGAGAGTGTTGCCGTGGGGTTGTTAACTAGTGTCATAAAACAATATGTGTACAAACTGTTTAATGAGAAGCTAGTTCTGTAAACCTTCATCTAAAGTACAAGAAAAAAAAATCGTATGGCACTTGTAAATAAAACATGTTGCCCTATCTTTTCTCTGTATGTGTTTTAATCCTGAATAATTTGGAAATAATAAATATGATTGATTTGGGGTTCATGTTCACTCTGTATGACTTGCCTTTATTGTTGAGTTATTTTATACACGGGAATTGAATAAATTGCTTTAACATATGTTAGGGAGGTGTAGTGTACTACACCTAAAACTCATATCAGGGAAGGAAATAATAAACCAGGGGATCTTTTTTTTTCCAGGTCTGAAACAAACCTCTAGTCAGATCTCTGTGCCTGAGGCCCCAATGTTAACCTTATTTACGGTACAATAGATAGTTGCTATGCTGGTGAAAGGGAAGATTGCAATTGTCTCAGTCCATAAATATACAAGACAACTTTTTTCTTCCTTCCAAGAAGTGTATTTTAGGGATCCTCTTAGAATTTTAAATTAGGAGATAGAATTATGACTCCACCTCAGTTATTTTCTCAAGAAAAATTGACTGAATATTCTGGCTAAATACTCTTGTTGTTATTGTTATTTTCAGGTGCGGGTGGTACCATTATCACAAATTTTGAACAGTTGATAAAGGGAACTTGGAAACCAGAAGCTGATGAATGGCTGAAGATGTCTTAGTAAGTTGGCATAAAATATACTGAAACCCTGCTTTTTATCCTTGAATCTTATCAAGTTTGTTTTTAAGAACATTTTGGGAACTTTAAATGTGAATGAAATACGCTGCTAAAAATACCTACTAATAATAGGAAAGAGAACCAGCAAACTTTATTCTTTCAGAAAAGTCTGTTACTTCAAATGTAGTTTTAAAACAAATACTGATTATCTTCTCTATATGTCCTCCCCCTGCCCCCTTCAGAAAACAAAACAAAACAGAAACCTCTGGCTTGTTGTAGAATTGTGGTGAGAGTGTATTTTATGAAAAGAGACACAGGAACAGACTTTTCTGGATGGAAATTAATCAATTGCAGACTCTTGACATTTTCATTAGTGACTATGATGTTACCCAGATTTCAGATTTTACATAGTTCTGGTAGTAAAATATCAAGCTTATGGGAACAAATCAATACATTGTCATAAAGCCATACAAGCTACTTAAAAAAATGACAGTTGAGCTTAATTCCCTATAAAAATAAAAAAGAAGGAATAATAATCCACTCTAGACTTGTAAGATGCAAACTACCTTTTGAGTTCATTTAAGAGAATCTAACTGTTAGATGTTCTCTGAAGATACTGACCCAGCCTTAAGTAAGTCACATACGTATCTATGATGTACCTGAAAATGAAATGGGAGCTATAGTTACTGTTCCCACATTACAAAAGGGAAAAGACTTAGGAATTAGGGACCATGATAAGCAAGGTAAAGAAAGACATCATGTAAAAATTAGACTCATTAAAATGGATGAAGGAGTCCTGAGGCGCAGTGGTTAAGTGCTCAGCTGCTAACCAAAAGGTTGGCAGTTCGAACCTGCCAGTCGCTCTGTGGGAGAAAGATGTGCAGTCTGCTTCTGTAAAGATTATAACCTTGGAAAACTATCTGACAGTTCTACTCTGTCCTACAGGGTCGCTATGAGTTAGAATCGACTTGATGGCAGTGGGTTTAGAATGGATTAAAAATGAAGGTTGGAGAAACAGTAAGAATGATAAAGTATATATTTGAGTGAACCAACAAATTCCAGGATATATAACTTGGAAAATACCCCTTAAAGCTTAAAGGAGGTAGTTTAGAAATGGAATAAAGGAGGCTTTAATCGAAAATAAGTTGTAAACAAGATATTAGGGATATTCAGGGAGAAATTTTCCTCATTTTGAGGTATATACCTTGAAAGAAAACTTAGGGTTTTCCATAAAACATTCCTTGGGGCTTTTATAACAAATCAGATTGTGTTTCTCGTTTGTTCAAAACTTTGCAGTTACTCTCCAAAATGAACGAATAAGGAAGGCCCTCCAAGATCTACCTCTCACCTACACCCAATTTGCCTTGACTTCATCTCTTAACTATCATCTCCTTTGCTCCCTCCACTCTACCATCACAGGGATCTCCTTGCTGTTCCTTGAAAAGCCTGGTGTGCTCTGGTTTAACACTGGATTTTCTCTCTGTCTAGAATATGTTCCCCAACTGTCTTCGTGGTGAACTCCTTTACATACTTTGCTCAAAGTACTTTCTCACAGTACCTTCTCAGTGAGGAATGCCCTATTTAAATTCACAACACCTCCCCAATTTTTCTTTTTTTCCCATAGCATTTATCACCTTCTAACACATAATGTACTTACTCATTATGTGTGTTGTTGCCACCTTAGCTTTAAAAAATACCCCAAACCAAACTTGTTGCCGTTGAGTTGATTCCAACTCATAGTGACCCTATAGGACAGAGTAGAACTGTCCCATAGGGTTTTCAAGGAGCGACTGGTGGATTTGAACTGCTGACCTTTTGGTTAGCAGTTGAACTCTTAACCACAGTGCCACCATGGGTACATCCTCCAAAAAAAATACACAGGGGAGAAGATAATCAGGCCCTAATAGCTGAAACTTATGTTACTTTATATAGAACAGGAGTCTTTGCAAATGTGATTAAATTAAGGATTTTGAGATGGGGAAATTATCATGGATTACCCAGGTGGGCCCTGTCTTAGTTATCTAGTGCTGTTGTGACAGAGATACCACAAGTGGATGGCTTTAACAAAGAGAAATGTATTCTCTCATAGTCCAAATTCAGCTCCAGGGGAAGGCTTTCTCTCTCTGTTGGCTCTGGAACAGGTCCTTGTCATCAATCTTCCCCTGCTCTAGGAGTTTCTCAGCGCAGGGACCCTGGGTCTAAAGGATACGCTATGCTCCTGGTGCTTCTTTCTTGGTAATATGAGATCCCCATGTCTCCCTGCTCGCTTCTCTCTTTTATATCTCAAAAGAGATTGACTTAAGATTCAACCTAATCTTGTAGATTGAGTCCTGTCTTATTAACATAACTGCTGCTAATCTTGCCTCATTAACATCATAGAGATAGGATTTACAACACATGGGAAAATCACATCAGATGACAAAATGGTGGACAGTCACACAATAGTGGGAATCATGGCCTAGCCATGTAGACACACATTTTTTGGGGGGACACAATTCAATCCATAACAGACCCTAAATGCAGTTGAATGTGTGCTTATAAAGGAAGGGCAGAGGAAGATTTGACCACCCATGGAAGAAGAGACAGTAATGTAATGGTGCAGGCAGAGATTGAAATTATGCGTCCACAAGCCACGGAATGCTGGCAGCCACCAGAAGCTGAAAAAGACAAGGAATAGGCTCTCCCCTAGGGCCTCCTGAGGAAGTGTTTCCCTGTTAACGTCTTAATTTTGGCTCAGTGATGCAGATTTTGGTCTTCTCGTCTCCAGACTGTGAGAGAATAAATTTCTGTTACTTTAAGCCACTGAGTTTGTAGTATGCTTACTCCTCACTTATTGACTATCTCGTTATCCAACATTTTGCATTTACGACACTAGTACAAAATCTATACGACTATTTTGTGCATTAATGACATATGTCTGGCAGTAACGAACACCGAAGTGCAAGGCGAGGGTAACGCTGGCTGTGATGGTTAAGATTGTGTATCATCTTGGCTGGGCCATGATTCTCAGTGGTTTGACAGTTATGTAATGATGTAATTTGATGGTTATGTAATGATGTGTTTGGCAGTTATGTAATGATGTAGTCATCTTCCATTTTGTGATCTGATGTGGTTGTCATCCATTTTCACATAATGCCGATTTTCGCATAACAACCTCGTCTTTGGAACCCGGCCATGTTGATAAGTGAGGAGTTGGTGTAGTTTGTTAGAGCAGCCAAAGGAAACTAATACAAATTTTAGTACCGGGAAGTGGGGTGCGCCTGAAACAGACACCTAAAACGTGGAAGTGGTTTTGGTACTGGATAATGGGTAGAAACTGGAAGAATTTTGAGGCACATGACAAAAAAGCCTAGATTGCCTTAAGCTATTGATAGAAATATGGACATTAAAGACCTTTCTGGTGAGGGCTCAGAAGGAAGTGAGGAGCATAGTAAGGAAAGCTAATATGGTCTTAGAGAATACATGTATTGTCATAAATATAATGTTGGTAGAAATGTGAATGTTAAGAGTATTTCTGGTGAGGGCTCAGAAGGAAATGAGGCATATATTATTGGAAACTGTAGGAAAGGTGATCCTTGTTACATAGTGGCAGAAAACTTAGCTGAATTTTGCCCTACAATGGTGTGGAAAGCAGAACTTGCAAGTGATGAATTTAGATATTTGCTGAGGATATTTCCAAGCAAAGTGTTGAAAATATGGCCTGCTTTCTTCTTGCCTCTTGTTGTGAAATATGAGAGGAAACAGATAAGGAAATAACTTCTAAATAGAAAGAAACCAGGACGTGATGAGTTGGGAAATTTTCCTCCTGTCCAGATTGTAAAAGATGCTAAAATTAGGAGATTCACTGTTAGGAATGCATGCTCTGGAGAGCAGGCTAAGTGTGTGGCTTGTCAGCCTTTTGCCAGTGCTGAAGAGGCAAAGTGTGTAACTCGTGGATCCATTCAACCACCTCAGCAGAAACCAGGGAGAGAGATGGTGCTATATAGGAATCTATGTGAACCCTTTTGTGTAGTGGCGTGGATCCCTGTGACATACACAGGAGACCTACAGGGTTTTGAGAATGTTATATTAGCAGAAACACTGTCACTTTGGACTGAAAGGGAAAGAAACAGGATGAAATGAAAGAAGGATGTGAAAATCCCAGAATTCTACAGGAAGAATTAGACTGATAAAACTGTTCATCTGCAAACATTTGCTACCCTTTAAGAAAAAGGAAGAATGACTTCAGGATAGGAGCTACTAGCCCAGAGGTCAGAGCCATGGGCCCAGAGGATGGAGCCTAAAGCCACAGAGGATTATTCCCAGGCCTTGAAACTGAATGGCATTTGCCCTGTTGGATTTCAGAATTGCATAGGACTGGTGACCCCTTTTGTTCCTTCCATTTTCTCCCTTTTGGAATGGGAATGATTATAACTGTTAACCCATTCCTATCCCACCACTGTATTTTGGTAGCAGATAACTTGTTTCCTAGTTTCACAGGAACTAATATAGCATGGATAAGAGCTCTCTAATTAACCACATCCCTGTTCTCCTAAAAAACTAATGCCCTGATTTAAAATGGACTTTTCCTTAAATCCAAAACCCTTTCCCAGTGCCCTGCTCTAATTTGTCTGCAAAATCCTTGTTGCTTATATTGAGCTCTTCTGACTTTATGCTCTAACAGGATGTTATCCAAAATAGAATATGGATATGCCCATGATGAACCAGAAACCAAACAGCAGCAAAATGATATTAAGATAAACCTAATTCTATTTGTTTTTTATCTCTTTTTAAAATTTCAGTTTTGTGCACATTTTATAATACAGTTGTACATGCATATGATTTATAAATTAATTGACAAGCATTTACTAGGGAGTGTTTTAAAACAGCCTTTTTTCCAATTAAAAAAAGTTTCCATTGAGTCGATTCCGACTCATGGAGACCCTATGTGTTTCAGAGTACAACTGCGCATAGGGTTTTCAATGGCGGTGACCTTTCTGAAGTATCTCCAGGCCTTTATTCCAAGGCGCCTCTGGGTGAATTTGAACTACCAATCTTTTGGTTAGTAGCCCAGCGCTTAACCATTTGTACCACCAATAGGGATGTACAGTCAAAAACTTTAAAGATCACTGTTTTAAGACATGAACCTTGCAGGGTCAACTTGTTATGCAAAATCCAAACTCTTGTTGTCCAGACTTAACCCTATTTTGAACTCAGTCCTTAGTTTGTAGTACATAATTAACGTATTTTTCACATTGTAAAATGGCTTATGGGTATTTTAAAATTTGTCATATTTGCAGCGTGGAATTCTAAGAATTTATGATTTATCTTTTTCTCGTGGTAAGCATAAAGAGCTAGACAATGATCTCTTACTGAGATATAATTTAAATATGTGGCAAATATATGACATGAAAGTAATGTTTCTCATTTGGTAGACTAGGATCTTGTAGACTTTAAAATTTTAGTATTAATATATTAAGATGTTAGCTAAAGTCATAAGCAATGATGTGTAGTAGCTGGTTCATACTGGTTCATAAGAGCTGATTGTGTGCATCTCTTGTTAATTCCATGCCTGGTGACATCATGTTGACAGCCTGAAATTGGCAATCATGGGATATGTATACCACGGAAATGGGCAAATGCTGCAAATCAGGGTCCACCACCCCC